AAGCTGCAATTAAAAATATTTCTCCGGTTTTAGTGACTTACGTGTACTTTTATTTATTTCACATGCAGGTAAAGCAAATGGTTGAATTAAATAGGCCATAATAGATATATTATTATTATTATTATTATTATTATTATTATCATTACTATCATTATTATTATTATTATTATTATTATTATTATTATTATTATTATTAGAGTATTACATTCCGTTAAGGGAAAAGGCCTCCTGCGCTAACAGTGGCGTTAAACCGCTACAAGACCTGAGGTGGTAGGTTGGTGTTTTCGCCTAATTACAGTTACATATAACAAGTATTTAACATATTTGACACGTTTTTTCATTTTGGATTTAGCGTGTATTTCGATATTTGATAGTTGTACATTTAGCACATTTTGCACTGTCTATTTAACATTAAAGTACCGACATTTACAACTTTGCATTGTGAAACAATTGTAGATTGTACAACACAACCTATTGTTTCACAATCTTTTATTTGAATTTCTCGCATAATGTAGTTCTTAACACTTGTTGTCTTGTCTTCTACCGCTTTTGTACTGCTTTATAGTTTTTTACTTAATTGTATTCACTTCAGTACAGATCTGCTTACGTGTTGGGGCTTCCACATCATTTCAGTTGATTCTGTTTTATGCAGGCAACACCTGGTCGTGTGCAACACGAGACAGAATACTGTATAATAGATGAGTCATTCAAAAATGGTGTAGGGACGTATTAAGTTATTTGGATTAAATTATCTTAGGAAGAGACGCGATAATTTGATACGGTCGATTAGTCTAGCTTTCCTTGCGCATTTACAAGTCAGCTACGGAGCTCCTGCCTTCGACCTCCACAATTAGCATAAAACATATTTTAAATAATAAATATGATTCTATCGCGGCTTATTGTCACACGAGAAAACGAACAATATCTTTCCTCACGATTTTCGCCGCCACTACGATTCGGCACTTCATCTGGATCAGCGATCTGGATCCATTCACCATGTACAAACAAAACCGGTCACGATTTGCTTTGCATCGCTTCTTTCGCATAACTTCACTGAACTGAATCAGAGGAGAGTTTGTTCATTCGCTCAATCCTTCCTTCTATTCCTTTACCGTGACTTTCACAGTTCGTTCAATCTATGATGCAGAGACAAGCAAGGATTTTAGCCAAGCAAGGAATTTAACGTATTAGAATATTACTATTTTTGATAGTATTGTCATTATATTATATGCAGTATATTTTACACATTGTATTTTTAACAGAAGACAATATATAATTTCAATTAAAATTTGAATTTCGCCGTGACTGGATAATTACATATTTGAAAATATTCAGAAAAAGATGTTGCACATGACAAAGGAAAATAAAAATCCAACGAAAAGCCTATATTACTCAGTGCTCCACACAGAACATACAAAATAAAGTAGTTCCAAATAGAACTTTACAAATCCGAAAAAAACCCTCAACGACTAAATATTTGTAAACGTGGTATTTTAAGAATCGCATCAATTCAACGTCGAAGGAAATACCACTGTGAGTAATGTGTGCATTAGCGCAAGACGTGTAATAGATTTCTTCCTGGGTTAGGATACTTTCGCTTGCAAGATCTTGTGCGAGTCATCCATGCACAGTCCGTGATTGACGTACCTGACACAGCATTGGGCCTTTTTTCTCTCTCGCGGGGCACTTAACGGTCCTCTTTCGCGCCGGGCGGTTAAAACGGCGCCGATTCTCATCCATGATTTACGACATCCTTCCCGGCACTTCAGTCCATTGCGAGCCGAATTTGGGGGAGAGTGAAAGATTAACGCCTTCCTATTTCTTAAGGATATTAACCGAGCATAAATTTGAATAAGCTCTTAACGTCATCGACACAAATACTCGTTCTCGATGAGAGAAGAAGACAAAAAAAAGCCTTAAACAAATCTGTAATTCATTCATCTTAATAAAACAAACAGCAATTAAACGATTTTCAGATTGGGAATTTCGATTGGCAGTAAAACTGCTTGGAATTTTTTTTCTTTTCTTTTTTCTTCTATTACATTTTTTAATGATACTTTTTTTTTAAATTGAATTTTCAACCAATGATAATTGTATTAGTGGAATTTTAAGCGATTAAAAGCTTACATGATATTTGAAACTCGAGATTCTTCATTAGAAGGTCACAAACCTAATTATATTATGCAGAAACAACCGAAATGAACTTATTTGAAGGAACTCGTCAAACACGCTCGCCAACTATTAAGATTTCGAACCCCCAACTCAAACCTAATGCGATCTAAATAACAAACCACGAATCCGGACCTGCAGAATGTCTTTATCTACCCAGCAGCGGTTCTGAATAAAACAGCGGGGCATTACCAATGATAATGAGTAGCTTTCGCGAAATACTTTAAGTCGAAGCTAAGCAAAGCCAGTGCGGATGGCCGAGGCAGTTGTGCCGCAGTGATCTCGAACCGAAGGATCGCGGGTTCGAGTCCCGCCTCGAGCATGGTTGTATTGTGTTCGTACTTTCACACCCGTATCATGATCATATCGTGTCATCCTCAGTTACCATACCGTTACACGCAATAGTGGTCGCTACTGACCAAGTAGTTGATGCGACCTTACATAACAAAACAGCTACACAGCGAGGTCCGCGACGTATGGCGGTTGCTCGGGGGCGAGTGGAGCGCATGGGCCAACGAAAGACGGCGCGAGCGGCGGCCTGCGACAACAAAGCGCCAGGTGAGGCTCGCATTCCAGACCTTTATGGTATGGTCACTCATTTCCTAAAAATAATTTCCCTGACTTTGCCAGTTTTCCACAGCCTTAAAAAAATAACTGGAAAGATTTGGATAGTATTTCACACTATTCACAGGAAAGAAGAAGAAAAAAAATGTTAAAGCAAGTCTGAAACTAATTTGTCAACTCTGATTTTTCCGTGATAAAGTATAAATAAAAATGAAAAACTCTCAGAAATTGAGGGTGGAAATATTGTACTATTTTCAAGGAATAATGTCTAGCAGCCTCATAACCATAATATATAATCTTCCCTGCCTTATAAACACTCTTTCACAAATTCCCTAACTTTTTTCCCGACTTTTACTGACTAATGAAATTCCCTTATTTTTCCTGATTTTCCAGAAACTGGTCAAACTGCTTTAAAAGAGACGCACGGAGTCCAGTGTGGCGAATAATGCAACGGTTGGAAGGCGCCTAAATTTTGATAGCGAGAGCATCCACTACTAAGGTCATTAGTATGCACTTGTAGTCCTTGTGACATCGAATGTTGTGGCGGTGATTCGTGCTGGAATGAGAGATCCGGGACCGACCTGTACTCCTGCTTGCCCTCAGCAGGAATCTCTCTCCAGCTGGGCAACGCCCAGGTTCTAAGCTCCCGAATGGTCACACGTCATGTGTTGCTGTGTAGAGCACGTAAATTGTGTGTAAAGAAAGCGGAAGAAGCAAGGATGAAGGAAATATAGCTTGTGAACCGTTTGTTAGGTACTACTCCAGCATTCTTAAGTTATTGGCGAAAGAAATTGAGAAAAAGTACCGATCATAGCAGTAAATCAGTACACTTTTCCTCCAGATCGTGGTTCAATTCGACCCAGATAACTAGCTAGCGTAAAATTAATGGTTTTCGAACCCTAGGACCTCCCGATCAAAAACGTTACAATGGTAACAGTTGTACGGAGCCGTCTCATTCGGTATTTGTGTCATTTTAATTAAGCCTTTACATCGGTCTCAGATACGCGGGACATGGAGAAGCTTTCAAGAACTGATCGAATCGTTGCGGGTTCGAGTTTTCTACGGCGTGGGTGTTTTCAGCCAGTGGTTGGCCATCTCATACCATGAAGAATAAATGAAATCATCCATAATCATTCATCGTCCATCACCGATCATCACCTCATGAGCATCCTCCAAGAGTCCATTCAGACGGGTTCTAGATATCAATTGATGCCACTACAGTGCCTGTGATCGGGATGTTTAGGAGGGAGTTCATCGGGAGTCTCGACGGAAGCAGGATTTTCAACTTTAGCTGGATATCTAGGATTAAATTCAGCCGCTGTCTGGAGGAGAATTCTAGCTGTCGGCTACTCTGATCGATAGTTTTTCTATCAATTGCAGGGGAATGTCCGAGGGAATTACTTAAACCACTGTATCCCTTTTGCAATAACGTTTACCGACTTCGTTTTCACTGAGTTTTTGACTTTGACTTTTCACCTGAGTTTTCAATTTTATTGTCACTTTACCAAATCTCCTTTTGTTTGCTCACGACTTCATATTTTATGCTCATTGCATATTTCCTCACTCTTCTCTTGGTATTATTATCCCATAAATTTTCTATGGGGTTCAAGTCAAAGCTATTCCCTGGCCCTAGTAACACTTAATTGATTTTCTTCCAAATTCTTGGAGAAACGTTTGTCCTTGTGTCACTACGCTTCATTATGAATAAAAATGACACCTTCATTACGGATCCTCTCGAATTTGGGGAAAAAGTTTCTTTTGAAGGAGTTTCAAAGTTCCTTTTCAAGAACTTTTTTGTAAAGGAATTGCCTCATTGTCCCTTGGACAATGTGCAATCTACCAGGGCCTTTCACAGAAATCACAACTTCACAACGTTTCCAACTCCAACGTTTCTATCATGTAACTTAGGAGTATTAAAAAACATGCTTTAGTCTAATAATTAGAACACGTCTGTATCGTGGAGATCCCGTTACTTTATGGGTGTAACCAAAGGTACAGACAGTGAAATCGGCCCTAAACGTCTGGAGGCAAGCGCTACCCTTCTAGCGCGGCAGGAACAAAAAGGCAGAGTCATTAGCATGATGGAGAGCGGTTTTGGCTGGAAATCGCAGCGGTGCGCCCGTGGACTCGGGTCCGCACGTGTTCGCCGCCGGCGTTCTAATCGCGCGCTCGTGAGTCACAGTGCCAGGCCAGGCCAAGCCAGGCCCGGTTCGACGCGGTCCGGTCCAACGCGCGCGCCCCGCCGCCCCGCCGCCGCCGCCGGCTCGTTACTCTTGTGCGTACGCCCGGGCGGGCAGGCGGCACGCCCGCGGGCCGGGCGGGTCAGCGACAAAGGACCCGGTGCGAGCGTAGCTGACATTATGCTTTCTGATTGGTCTCATGCGTTCTACGTTAAGACGCACCACACCGCACAACACTTGAAGACGAAAGGGATAGGACTGAGGACCAGAGGCGATGCTTTCTAAACAGACATATGTTTCTTTTTACTAAACCTTAATATATTAAGAGCGAGCGTTTGTGCATAGACAGCGAAAACTGTTTTCATTTGGATAACTGACTACCGCGCGTTCAGCCACAACAGCCAGTGCGTTCAGACCCCCATCCCTTCCCCCGGCCTCTACGGTTGGCGCGAAGTGCGATTGAGAGAGAGCGATATTTTCAGGGTAGGTAGCGGTAGATAGTGGGAGTCACCCCTCCTCGCGCATGTGCAGTCGAAGGGAGATTTCTAACTTGTTCTGCTATAGTATATAGGATCGCAGGTTGCGGTTGCACACGTAGATGCAAGTCCGCCAAAAAGCTAAGTGGACCTTTTGATTAATTGGTGATTTCGAGTGCGTAAACTGGGACGTGGCGATGATCTCCCACTGGATGGCGAGATTCGGTGCTGACCTATACGTTGGTTTGCGGGGATTTTCCCCAACCAGGTATCTCCCACTAGGGGGCATCGTTCCAGCCGCGACTAAGCTCTGAACTCACGACCGATATTGTATTGTATAAAGCGAATTTTTGTAAGAATGGGACGTTTTGTCAGGTAGTGCTGACAACACAACTGAAGGTTCTTAGGTCGTTGTGTCCTTAAGCCTATTAGACTCTCCTTCCTCCATTCGTTAATTTGCAGTTGGCTAACATGTAAATGGCTTCGACATGTCCGTTTATAATGTCCTCGTCCGATGAAAATGAAGTGCGCCACAAGAAATATTGAAATTAGGAAGTGCAATGCTATGTTCTCTTCTGTAAAAAATATATTTTTTTAATGTAAGTATGGCATTGAATTTAGTTTCTGTGTGATAAGTATTATGTTTATTTTAAAACCGAGTCTTGAATGTGAGACGCGCACGGGTGGCGGTGCATGTGTTTCTAGCTCCTGTGTTGCAAGGTGGAGAGCTGTGTTCGAGAGCGTTTTTATTTTTTGTATATTTTTTTATATAATTGTGACACAGTTGTGAACCATGAAAAGCCTCCTTGTTCACAATTCAGGAATACATTAACATGCAAAACATTAGTGACGTATAAAACAATTATTAAGTCACATTTCAGCTATGAGAGCATAGTACTAAATATTCATAGCCGGGGTGTTATAATTATAAATAAAATATTCTCTTCACTACAAAAATTCATGAGCCGTTCGCTGTGAAACGACCAAAAAAGGTATTTAAACGTACCCTGAAAAATAATTTTTTCCTTCTATTTACATTCGTGGTAGTTTTATTTTATTGAATATGAGAGCATGTTCAAACAGTTTTCCACATACGTAATTGAATTTCAATATTTCCCAGACTCGCGTACGTGCTTATACCTCAGCGAAACTTAAACGATTTCTTGAGTGATATAGGGATGTCTTCACGGGAGCCGTAAACACTACGAAGGGGCGTGGCAGAACAGCTGTCGCGGCGGAGGATTATTCTTTTCATTACACGTGATGTTCACTTGTTTAGCGAACTGTCACTTTGGCTCATTCGTATAAAAATCGCTCTATATTTCACTCTCAGCGTATTAAGTCTGCAGAATAATAGTGCCAAGGGAACATAACTACGCATTGTGTTGAGATCATGCACTGAAAACCGTTTTCTTTTACATTGCCGGCTGCAGAATTCTTACTAGGCAAACTCAATTGGAACGAGTGCAAAGTAACTAATTCCGTAAGAGATCGCGGTTCCCTCTCCCGTTCGGGTTGCCCAATACGTCTCGCCCGCCACCCGCCCATCGACGATGTGTTCTCCCGCGCTGTGACCGGGGACCGGTCCCGGGCGGGCCAACGAGCACTGAATGCTCTCAATTTCACTGGGCGAGCAGCCCGTAGGCCACACATGCGTGGGACCAACATTTCCGGATTAGGGATGCCATATCGAGTGTCCGTCTTTTCAAACATCCGTGTTTTTTTTTTTTTTTTTTTTGCAGAAATTAACTAGGTTTTTTGAACTTCGATATATTTAAAGCCGATGTTTTTTACCACCAATGTTTTGTATTCGATGTTTTACGTTTACGAGTTTTGATTGTGAATGAAAAAAAATTTCATAGTCACAACTGGTAAAAGCTAAAATATGAAACAATAACTGACGGTGCAGGTTGACAGTTGACTGTGTACACTTATGTTCTATCGTCATCGAGCGTCCATTCTCTTATGTTTTTTTTGAATTTTGTTGTCAGTTAAATCTTAATTAAAAATTGAAATTTGTTGTGCCAGACTGCAACAACTGTAGGGTATAAAAAATCTTTAAAACACCAATGTGTTTAAACAGATCAATGGTTTTTAGGTCGATGTATTATTGACTTCGATGATTTAATTTGGAACATCGGTGTTTAGTATTGATCGACTGTTTTGATAGTCGGCATCGCAGTACTATTATGCTGATCTGAAAATGGGGAAAGAAAAATCTTGCACGCGCAAGAGTCCAGTTCTTCGTTGCTACGCCTTGTCGCTTTCCGCTGAAAAGCAGCCCTTTGGGCAATTCTACTTTCGTTAAGCTCTTCTATTCCTCAACCTCGGGACTTAATATTTTTAAAGAACAATTCAAAGGACTTTGTTTTTAGAAAAATAGTAATAATTATTACATGTATTTGGAGAATATGTATACAATTACTTCCAGTCGGCATGTTTCGTCCAACTTCGGCTTGATTCACAGAGCAATAGCAGTAATGGTCAACAGTGTTTGTCTTCTGGACAAGAAAATTTTATATAAACCTAAGCAGCCAAAAGTAGACAAGAAATTATCTTGCCCAGAATTTTAAAATTTCTTCCTCCGCAAAACGTTCTAAATATTATTATGTATCTGACGCAAAGTAGAAAGTTAAGTTAATCTAAGAAGGAAAAACGGGGAAAATACTTCAAAACACAACTCGTAACCATTTATTTTTTGAGAAAAGTTTCGAATACAGTTATTTAACGTACTCCAAAAAGCTGAACTCCGTACACACTCCGACAGAAAAATGCTAAAGTACTACTGAATGCAATCTATAAAACATACCTAGCTGGCGGTCAGTAATTACCCGACAGACTACAACAACCTGGCGACTCGAGTGCAACGTATACCACAGTACAATCTTTGAATTGAATTTTAGATTAATTTAACTGCCGTTATGTTTACTGTGCTGAGAACACATAGTGTCTTATACGGACATTACATACACTATAGAAAGCATACATACTGTAGCAAACAGTCTGAAAGATGAACATTACAGGTCTGTACTACAGAGTTTTTACTTTTCCTTCTTATAATACTCTCTAGGAAACAATTCTGACACATGCTTTTTTTATTCCTTAGGTTTTTTCTACGTGCGATCCAGTTACACGGGCACCTCAAACAACGCACGGGCTTTAATATTTAAACCATAAACTAGACAATCACTACTGAAGCTTGCGGTGATCCTTACCAGCTTACTTTGATCGTGCCAGACCAGGCGAACTCTTTGAATCCTTTCCCAGATACACACACTTAAACGAAAGGAATGAACATCAATGAGCAAGGCGGAATTACACTTCGATATCTATGAAGCGACCAGATTCAATCGACTTCCCGAATCAGATATACCACCCTATCAATCCTGCCATTGCAGGAATGAACATTTTTTAAATTTGTTCCGCATGAGCCGTTAACATATTAACGGTGCCATATAATATATTCTCCGAACATATACATTTATAAGGTAAAATGCAATGTTCAACATTAACGCTTTGGAAAGCCATTACAGATGATCGTGCAACACTTTCACACGTATCTCACTGAACAAATTTAAGTTACGAAAATTGTTTACTTTAATTGTACTTACAAAGATCAATACACGTTAGTTCAGCTTCTCAAATAGGAAACATAAAAATTTCGGCGACTGTCCCTTCGATGATTACAATTTATTTTATGTAGAATTATAATTATTAGAAGACGAAGATGATTAATAATAATCTTATGACGTTATTTTGTCATATATATTTACTCTTCAGTACGGTCGTTTCTGTTGTGGAGTGTAGTTTGCCGCCATTGGCCAAGCTACACACCGCTGCGGGCATACTAATCGACACACGCACCCAAATGGGTAGCGCCGCGCCGCCCGAAGGCTCATGCGTCTCAGCACCTACTCGGTATAAGCGCGTCCCGTATATCAACCGGATGACTTACTCGGCGCAGCGGAGGGCCGCGGCTGTGGCGGCGCGTTGGCGTGTGCGTAGGTCAGCCGCTGGAAAGGAGAAATGCGGGATAAAGTAAGAGGAAAATTTATGGCGACCTAGAGCACGGCGGCCGAGTGCGCGCACGCCGATTTTGTTTGAAACAGTGCGGCCTCGCGAATCTGGCTTCAAAAGGAAACTTACAACCCCGCCCAGGACTTTCGACATTGTAAACATGTAGACTGCTCTCTAATGCCGTATATTTATTACCAAGCTGAAAACTTGCAGCTCGAGACGCCACGCTCAGGTTTAAACAGTTTTTATTTTGTGCCCTGCAGTTCACAGCACGTCAGATCGTTGTAGATTGTTCAGTTGTTAATTTCCGTCCTGTTAGACATAAAATCATCGAGAACGTAAATAAATTTCGTGACTACGTACTTGATTGTGGGGAAATATTCAGAACTAGTGCCGCCAAGACATTCGAAAGAAATCAGATGGATAAAAATGTGTAGTTAGAACTGCTCTTCTGGTAAAAGTAATTGGTTGTTCTTTTACCTTCGAAGGGCAAGATATAACAAACTGTAATCATTAACTTATTGAAAATTAACATAACACACATTCGAACACACTGAATTAAATTCCACTGAAAGAATATTGCTGGATATCGTAACAAGAAAATTTACGCTACATTTCAGGATTGCCTTCTGTAGCCATTTTTTGACGTCGTACGACTGAGTACGAAGCTCTTTGTTCTTTGGAAAGAGTCTCCAATGCATATGGCTCCTAATTTTTGTATCAGTTAAACCGTTGTTTGGCCACAATGCACCGTTTGTGGCACAACATATCACGCGACGTGTGCCACTTCCACACAGAAAATCGCGTGACAGACACGTACTCAACGGTAACTAACGCAATATTGTTGTCAAACTGTTTATTTTGAAATTATTTTTCGTTTCTCTTTTACTTTCTCGCTGTCGCTTATGTAGTAGAAAGAAAGTTATGTAAAAAGGGCATGAAAAAAGGGCGAATTTTCAGCAGAAAAACTCTTATTTCAGGACCCTGGTAACAGAAAAGTGGTTGCTAAACGTAGAAAAAAATCCTCTAACAAGTGGTGAAGCCAAAATCAATGTTTTGTGGGCCCTTGCCCTGAAAAATCGAATGACGGCAAAAAGTATGTTTGTCAGTCCGTCCGTTTTAACAACGCTAGCGACTACACCGTTCAGCCTTCTTCAAAATTGATATTCACGAATCAATCTGGCTGATACCGCAACCCGTTGATTTTGAAACCAATGATTTAATTTGGGAGGGGGGGAGTACCCTGTACTCTGTAGAAAGCCTTTGAAACATTTTAAATTTTTAAAACAAATTCAAAATGTCATTTTCGTTGAAAACTCTTACGTTTTTGAAAAATGCAAAAGATTCACATTTTTCGGCAAATCTGTACAATTTCTGTTACATTTGGATTTTGAAATAAGGTCAAGTACAATTTTTCCAAAACTTAAGTACATCTCACGTAATGTTTCATGAAAGTAGAGGCGATAAAGAACGTTCTGATTTAGCACCACTAGTTCCCCTTTTCACCCTGTCGACCTATATTTTTCTTTTCCTACCTTACACATGGCAGAAGCCAAGTGAGGCAATAATCGTTGTGCAAGAAGCAAGGAACGTAAAAAAAATGAATACATGTCAAGCGCGTTTGATGTAAAAGAACTTCAGGACCCCTGAAGACAACAACGAACATTTAATAATAAGTTATCGTTTGTCCTTTCTTCTCATTCTGAATAGATTATCGCTGTATTCCGTGACAATCGTTTCTTCTAGTCAATAATTAAGTTTGCCCGGTAGCAATTCAAGTCACATTCCATTTTAGACAGGTCTGCGAAAACCGCCCATTAGATGAGGTATAGTGTGTTAACTGATAAACGTAGATTTGTTAGAGAGAAATTTTGTGCAACTGTACATTTAGATTATGTCCTATCTAATATATTTATTTTTTAAAGAAATTATTTATCGCGAAAATCCTAAAGATCACGGCTGTTTCTGATATTGTGTTTGTCGCCAACGATCTCTTCGTTGTTCAATGTATATCTTCAACTTTACCATATATCGTGATCCCCAAATATGTACTTCAAACTATCATGCTTGGCTCGTATTATCGAAAATACAATTGCCAAAACTCTTACGGTTACCCTTCAACACGAACGTCTCACCACTGTCTTCCAGGTATCGGAGCGCCTGTGCCGAGGCAGCTACTTCGCTCGGAAGGATCATTCAAAGAGGTTGATGAACCGTCGCGAAGAGATGCGGGCGGGCGCGGAGGCGAAGGCGGAGGCGAAGGCGGAGACGAGGCGGAGGAGGAAACGCAAGAAAAAGGACCTGCCACACGCACGTTACACACACACACACACACACACACACACACACACACACACACACACACGTACACTCTGACGAATTCTCGCAGACGTTGAAGTCACCGCTCCCGCATTTTTTTGTGCATGTTCGGATGGATCTGTCAGCCCTCCTCCAGTCCTGGAATGCAGCGCACTTCGGTCTCGGAAGGTCATTGGAACTGAATGTAACGGATTTCTTCCTTTAGAGCTAAACAACCTGCGACTGACAGTTGGATATTTCTGTTTAAATTAACGCTATGTTATACTTTATTATATTAATTTACGGTACAAGAAAGTGAAATAATGTTAATCACAAGTGAGAAAGTTCAGACTCCGACGCCTAGTTAGGAGCTGAAGGATAAAATTGTCCCGACTAAATGATACGGGTTTACTCTCAAATGCAGTATTTGATTTAATTCACTAGAGAATTAAACCGTTTTAATGTTCCAAAGAACAAAAAAAACGTTTTCTTAACTTTACAATGTAAACCATAGTATGTATTATTCCTATAGTTTACTCCGTCCTTTTATTCATTTTCTTTATCGTGTCAACATAAATTAATTCTCTGGTAAAAATAACATCTCAATTCTCTGCTTAGAATATTTTAAATTAATTTTTAATACAAAATGCATGTACAGTATGCATATTGGAATGTGCGAACTTTGTTTTCATTTTTGATTATGTAAAGAGAGTAGGTCCATAGTTTTTTTTACCAGACAATTTATTTTAATGTTAATTTATTCTATATTCATGCGCATTATTTTCATTTTCCGCAGATGATTAAACAATAGAACAAATGTACCCGAGCAGTGCTCGAGCAATGCCCGAGCAATTACATGCGACGGAACTTCAATTAACTCTCACTTGCACTTACCCGTGAAAAACATTCCTCTCCTCACCTCGAAGGCTTCATTTCGTTCCTTCAAAGCGACTTTCGTGAATAACGTATTTTTACGGAATATTACAAAATGAACTTCAAATTTATCTTTGAAATTTTAGGGCATAAACCTGATTTAGCTCTATAGCAACGATTGATGTAACAGCGACTAAAGAGCAACGGCCGATAAAAATAGCAGCGGTCGCGGCGGAATTTTAAGTTTATATTTTGCCTTTGCTCAATTGATGGCTCGTCACTGTATTATTCCACATTGCCGAAAAGATTTCATCATCATTTTTTCATCATTATTAGGAAGAGAAACATTAAATGCACAATTTTCTAATGTAGTTCCAATAATGGTTATTTCCTCAACACTCGCGTAAATAAACACGTACAATGTTTTTCCGTTGTAAGATAGAATATGGCAACTTCAAAAACGAATGTTTTCTAAAAGGATTACATAGATACGATATGTACTCTACATTATAAAATACGTAACGTACGTGGGCAAATCAATATTTTCATGTTTCTTAATGCACTTTTTTAAACACATCTACTCAAGTATGACCACAAACACAGGAACGTAGGTTTTGAAACCTATGATTTCTGGTTAGAAATGCTAATTGTACATCACACTGATTCCACCTTTTCTCTGTATCAATCACAAAAATAATTGAACGTCTTTCCATTACTGATTTTTCGATTTGGACGGCGTCAAACGGTGGCTTACCTCTTCAAATTCCTGGAGCACATCGTCAAGAAAAAAATATCGTCACCGTCGAACACATTTTGAACGAAAGTATGAGAATCAGACTTAATTTGAGAATAATTTTACCAGCACCATACGAGCGTCACTAGTTCCATTAGTTGCTTGTAAATAAAGACATGCAAACGGATCGACGCGGACATCGACCATGTGGCCTGTAAATGTTCATTCATATCAACATATTACATTACCAATTTACATTTGGGTATTCCAAACAATTTTTAGTTCACACGAGTTTAAGGACTCAGCCGGTTATATATTCTGCTTTGCTGTACTTATATCTTGTAATTAACCGTATGGCCTTGTCTTTAAAGTCTCACATAGAAGATAGAAACATAAATAACATGATCTTGAGATGCTCCTAGATTGACATAATTCTTTCAAAAATAAATTCAAAAGTTAGAATTAATGTTCTAAAAAATAAACAATTGCTTTTAGTTGATTATTAATCATGAGTCATGATCAAATATACAGAATTACCTACATGTACGGGAATTTAAAGTCAGCCCAAAGACTATGATTTCGCCTGGATAGCTGAGGTCGTTTAAGCTGAATGTATGTTTGTGTGCGTTGTGTTCTTCCTATAGTTCTCCCCGCAGTTAAAACGATCACACTGGTCGCTATATGACCTAGTTGTTAAAAGGCGACTTTAAAAAAATGCTTTCACAGTAAATTATAGAAGTCAGCAAAGCATCCATAACTAAAGACTATTACTACTGCAGAATTGAAACACAGTAAGGCAGATACTGGTAAAATACTACAGTCTATTTCTTGCTGTAAGACGAAGAAAAAAGTCATCGGTGATTGCAGATTCGACACATGCGTGACACTTGAAACATACCTTGACAGCACACTCTCTAGAACAATTTTTGCATAATTTCGTAACATTTTTTTTATAATTCTCGCCATCATATGAAGACTAATGAGGAAGATGCATAAAAAAATATTATCGATGTAATCTAAAAGCTAGGTTAAAAATATCCAGACACAGGTAATATTTTTAGGAGATTAACGCGTATGAAGTCAGCAAACTAGAGCATTAGCGGGATATTTAGCAGACGATATACGATTGGAATTCATGTAAACCCTGAGCTTCATATGAGGTGTCAAGACGGCTAGTGTCATTTCAAATGTAAGCGGATGGTCTCGTTATTTTTGGTTGGTGGCTGCGGCTTCTTTCAGGCTTAGACATCTGTTCCACAAAGGTTCAAAGGTCACCAGAACGTTTGCTTTTTCTCTTTGACTCCTCTTTGATGTGTTCTCGGCCTACGCTTATTGTTCTCCCCACGTCAAGGTCCCGTGAAAGAACTGATATGTTGCAGAACAAGTGCGACCACGTCAGCGCTAATCAAACCTACGGAAATCTGTCATTAAAATGGAATGCCAGTTATGAATTGGCATTATTAAGAAAACGTAATTGAGTTAGTTTGTCGTTGATGTAAATAACCAACGTGTTGATTTAAGAATAAATGCCAATAAGTTTTTTATAACTCAGAAACGAAAATGACTATTTTTCGAATTTATTGCTAATCTTGCAATTTTTAAAATTTATTTTTATTTATTTATGTTAAACTTTTATTCGTCTTTCAACTATTTAGAGTGAAAATGACGGGAAGGGATTCTGTAACTTAAGAAAACGAACGCAGAAAATCCCCCCCCCCTACAACACATACAGTTTTTACTTTTTTTTTTGACTGAATAAATCTAAATCTAAGAAACTCAATATCCGTCTAACAATTAATTGCTTTGTAAAAATTAATTTTTAAAAAGCAAGAAATCATTTGCGAATAAAATAAAGTATCTTGATAAATGAAAATCTGAAAGTTTGTTTGAAAGTTATAAAAAAAGACGAAATATATCATTCAAAAAATTCATTTCCATTCATTCCTTCTAATTTTATTTTTTAATTACTGCCTCCACGAATTTGTTTTAACGTAACACGCGGCATACGAAAATTACAGTGATCTTACATCAATATTACCTACACATTTTCCAAAATATCCTTTGCATTATAAACGAAAAAATACACATTCATTTTTGGACCATTATGTCGTAGCAATAATATTAATTTGTTTGGAAGATAAAATAATATCGTAATCCTAACCGTTGCGTTTTATTCACAACTTACATTATCAAGTTTGGGATTCCTGAACTCTGAGAAATGAAGAAAATGTACAATAATGTAACCTAAAAAGACCGAAACATCAGTACAGTACTCGCTTACGTTCAGATTTAGAATTACACTTGCATGATATTATTCTGGTGTCTGCAACGAACAGTACTTATATAATAAGGGAAATAATAGGTGACACGAACTCCTTCGATGAGCAGATCTTAGAACAGCCTCACTAGGAGTAGCTGCTATTGTTTCGAGATTTCAAAATATACGGAACTTCACTACTCCTGATCGCTGAAGTGCCAAATCCAAATTATAACACACAGCTGTGGACGAGACCAATAGGGAAATGGTTCTTCAGTATACCAGACTGGCTTCGACAGTAACCAGAACTCCTACACTCAGCTCCGAGATACTTGTTTTTTCCTCAACAAACAAACCCCGAGAAACGAACCAGACATCGTCAGCAAGAGATCGTAATTTAACACGTTCCGGCGACGTAATTTGTTATTGCACGAGCGCATGACCTCAAGGAACTACCCAATGGAAGACGTGAATATATAGAGCATTCCGATGTAGATTGAATCGTTGGAACATAATTCGATCATCATAAATCTGAAGAGAAAGTTCAACAGTACTTTCCTGAGTGGTTGATACAGGCACTTGAAGGGGATTATTCCCTAGGATGTAGGAATTGCACTGAACTGATTACGTAACTTAATAAAATAATAACCTTGTTAACCAAATGAAATATTTACTGTGTTTTAGTAATTTGTCGCTTCAACTCGTGTCCTTTAGTTCCATCGCAGAACATCTTATGGGTGTGTTCTGTGCTGAAAGTGGCATGAGAAGATTTGGATATTTATTTGAAATGTAGTAGTTAAACTTTCTGAAGCGTGAAATTCTACTCAGTGTGGCCACTGACACCATGTAGGGTGTTACAGAGAGGTTGCTTCTTTGCATGAGTTTGCAATTCATTGCTGTATTTTTGCAAAAAGATGGAATGACATAGTTTATTAAGACTCCAGAAGAGGAAGAAGAAGAGGAAGAAGAAGAAGAAGAGGAAGAAGAAGAAGAGGAAGAAGAGGAAGAGGAGGAAGAGGAAGAAGAAGAAGAAGACGAAAAGTGCTCCTCGAAACGTCGAGATATAGTAATGCTTCAGGTAGTTTCACTAAGACATTTCAAATAAATTTCCAAATCTAAATTATGGCTTTTTCTTAACCCTTTGATTTTCAAACGTATATTATATGACGGTCTAAAATAAATTGGACATAAAAATTGAACTAATACCTTTGCTTTCTTTATTACAGAGGGGATTCACATTCATTTATAAATGTTTACCTTTTTATACGCTGAGCCATTCTTTGTGCTTGAAAGTTGGGCCTCGCCAGAGACAGCGTTACCACAGTTTACTGCCTTTCCACGCGTACGCACGCTTAATGAAGTTTCGAGGGCAATGTAAAGCGACTACCAGATTTAGATTTATTTTTAATTCCGGAATTGAGTTAACTTGGTGGCAGAATATCTTAACTTTACATTAATTAAGCTTACATTAACCAACAAAACGTACCAATAAACAATTAATGAAAATTTAATTTCTATACTTTCTATATTTTTCAGTCCGATAACTATACTGTGCAGATACTTTTAATAAAGTGATATTTAGATGATGAGCCTCATAAATAGATGCTGCAACGATGCTATGTCCACTTCATTTACTGAATCCCAGATGATGGCAACAAGGGTAGATTACGCCACTGGAAAAGCTACAGCTATTGCGTGTCACTAGGAAAACCACTGTCGGTGTCATCACGTCACTATCAAACGTGAAGTACAAATAATTTATAAAACGAAAGAACTGAGGATCTACTACATAGCAAACTAAAACTCCAACTAGCTAAGTTGTGAAAATACTGTATATAAGTGAAAGTGATGAAGAGTGCTCGAAGCTAAGACAAACGCCGAATAATGTAAATAGAAGCCACTCGATTTGAGACCAAAAAATGCTCTCGTGGCTCAGTGGCGACGTCGCTTGCCTTGCACCACTGAGGTTCCGGGTTCGATTCCCGTAGAACCGCATGTGAAATTTGTTACGACAAAACGAGTTTGTATGCTTCGCAGGGGCTAGTCCTAAACCTTATCTCTATCCTTATTCCTTCCCAATTCTGGCCGTTGGGTAGTGGCACAGGAGCGCGTACGCGGAGTTGCCATCTGTCGGTCCTCTTGACAACTGACTGAGACGAGACGTGACGGACTATATTAATTAATGGAGGATTTCTCCAAAACTGCGAAGCGCTCAACGCCCCGAAGGGGTTTGGAGACGCGTTGCGTCGACGTTGACGCAATACGAGGGTCAAAAGCTGAATACATCTTAAAACTTCAACTTAAAACCTTAGCTATCTATATTTTGTAAAAAGATGAAGATTGCCATTGCCAACAATATTATTTATTAAAAAAGCAGCTTTCGATGGCTTAGCCATCATCATCATCAACAGCAGAAAACTTAGCCATCATCATCAGTTTTCTGCTGTTGATGATGATGATGGCGGCTAAGCCGTCGAAAGCTGCTTTTTTAATAAATAATATTGTTGGCAATGACGACGCATATAATTATTTCATTCGAAACGCCAACGAAAACTCACTACAATACCTATAGATGAAGATTGAATGTACCACAGTCAATACAGTATGTAACTAGAAAAAAATGAGGTTTCAGTTACGTCGACTTTGTAACTCTTTCACATCAAAATAAATGTGTGTTTATACAGAAGCCAGACGGAGTTTCGACACTCGTTACACTAACGATCACTTCATATCGTGTGGTCTCCCCCCTGCGGCTGGATGCATGGCGTTCCCCAACACCGTGCGGTGCGGCGTCTATCAGCCTCTATCGCCTGTCAGCGATATGCCCTTCCTGTGGGTGGCCCTATTCCGCTACACTAGCCCAAAGCGGCGCGCAACCTTTGCGCACGGAAGCGGGGTCCACTGTCGACACCCCTGGTTCGGATTCCACCGGCGTAATGTGCGCGAAATTCTATATTTCAGACTGTCACCGACACACTGAGAAGTCATTGCCAGTTGCATCAAAATTCTAAGGATTTGTGTTGATGGTGTATTATCGATCGTACAATAACGTCATTATTACTCAACATAACTGTAACATACATACTCGCGATTATTCGACGTAATTGGGACCGATACGACAACGGATGGGGGAAATGTAAGAATGTAATAATGATAAGAAAAATACGAGTAACAGAATATAAATAAATGAACAGATTTACCGCAGTAGTAACAGGAAGGCAATGAGAAACGGCAAACAATAGATGTCTAGCCAACAGTTTACTCTTGAATGTTCTAAAGACAATGATCTCTTGCAGAACAACAAACCCATGTAACTTTTAGCTCTGGTATTTACCTCCACGTAACTAGAACCGCGGCTTCAGGTGAACGTCATGCCATCCTCCGAGTCCTACAATTGTATAGTGCACTGTTGAGTTGAATATGCGATCTGCATATACTAGTAACGATCAAACTTTTATTCCCATAAACGTTTCGGCCAGTTTACTTTTGAATGTTCTCAAGGCAACTGATCACTTTCTAAGCTTCACATTGATGACAATTTTAGTTTGGGTAATGACTTGGTAAGCTATCTTTAGGAGGCACATTTTAATGACCTAAAAATTGCCAAAAATGCTAAATAATGCTGTTTTAAAAATGCTCACAAAATAAAGAAATATTACATTAAAAAATTGATCGAAACCACCTCAGATGAACAATTCAAGCTGTTGGATATGTTACTAATGGAATCGAGGCTTTTTCATTTTGTTCAAGTGAACTCAGCTTGCAAACTTTGGATTTGACCCGCCAGCCCTCGCGTCCAACGAAAACGAAGAGTTGTACATTGTGCTGTTGAGTTGATTACGCACGCTTCGTATAACGAGTCAAAATCTTAAGTTTCGGCCAGTTTACTTTTGGATAATCTCTATGCAACTGATCCCTTGCCGAGCTTCACACTGATGCCAATTTTAGCTTGAACATAGCCCTCGCTCCCCCCTTCTTAGCTACGACCGGGCCTTCAGGCAACTAGTCGCCAGGCAATGCGTTCAACGGAGAGTTGTAATAGCGAGTTGTTGAGTTGATTGAGCGAGTTGCATGTAATGAGTCAACATTTTGATCCGCCATAACTTTCCGCCAGTTCACATCAGTACCTGCGCAGCGGTTCACTTGCTGAGCATCAAACACATGAATATTTTAGCTTCGGCTTAGCCTTCCCTTCAGTTACGACCGTGCCTGAAACAAACGCCTCTCCAACCCCTGCGTTGGACGAAGAGTTGTAATAGTGTCTGTTGAGATGATTATAAATAAATCCTAAAAAAGTTTCCATCAGTTTTCTTATGAATGTTCTCTTGACCACCCTTATCGCTTGCCTCTTGTCCAGTTTCGACCATTTTTTAAGGTTTCTCCCGGCGTTCAAGGGAGAGTTGTAATTGTGTGTTGATGAGTTGATTACTCCAGCTACATAATGAATGAATCAAAATTTTATTCCGATAGTTTCCGCCAGTTTCCATCTGAACATTCTCGTGTTAACTTATAGGTTGCTGAGTTTCCGACAGCGAAACTTTTAGCCCCGGCCTGGCCGTTCCCTTAGAGATGTCCATGCCCGCAGGTGAACGACCCGCCAGCCCCCGCGGCTCCGCCCAAGCGGGCAAGGCCGGGCCGTGGCGCCTTGTCGCCGAGCGCGCGGGAGCCCTGATGGATGCTGGGCCCTGGATTGTCGCGCGTCGGCGAGGGCCAATTAATATTAAAATTGGAGGAAATAACGACCACCCTACATCAAAGTCAACACATATATTTTGTGTATCTTGCTCGATACTCGTCGAGGGTATAATAACAGCTCGCGCAGGAGTTGCAGAACAGGATCATTAGAATAAAATAAATAAAGCTAATAAACAATTTGATGCGATTTATATCTATATATGGACACCTAACTGCCCGGCTTCTATGACACTCTTGTCAGCTTTAAGAACATGTTTTAGGATAGGTTCGGGCAGTTATTTTCGAAGCGCAGGTTCTTTTGCCTTTAACATGCCGACTAACTGGTACGATGGTTCCTAATTTTCTCAGAAACGCATTAAGAAAACTTGTATCTGTAATGACACACGCGGTCGCTGAGAACTTACGCGACATGATTGTTTTAAATGTTCTGGTGTAATGATAGTATATTAAAGTTTTCTCTATTAAATCTTTAGTTGTAATTCTTGACCATGGATATTTTCCTATTTTTAAGATAGATGCGAGAAGGTACGAAGTAAATGCTTCGTTGACTGATTTAAACTAATCTAATAGACTGATTTACACTAATCTCTTTTCGTTTTCTTAATATAATTTACATACCAAGTGTAACATAATTAAGATAAGATTCTTCTATTGAAATTACGACGAAACATGTCCAAGTCGTCAAAGCATCATCACTATATTTTCTTTAATACGACGCTTGAACAGTTGTTATGATCCCAATTAAAAAAGTACTCGCGCCGAAATTTACACGGTTGTAAAGTATAAAGTAAGATATTTTTCGATAATACCAAATGTAGATATTTGGACGGACTGCAAACCTAACGCATTTATTTTAAGAGTCACGCCAGTTCCCGGGTACGATCTCGACTGTGGCGCATGGCTTTTCGAAGGGTGGAAAATCCTAATATGGCCATGGCATGTAAAAGAACATTGGCAGTTGCCCGGCAAAATTAAATTCCTCCGGCAAAGATTTCACATTCCCCCAACCAGAGAGCTCGGATATAGGCCGACATCTGGCAGTCGAATGTAAGAATCACACCCAGGCGCTCAAAGGGACGCCAACGGGGTGCTCCTGCTCTTGGTCCTCTACACACGAGTCGGGGTAAGTTTCAAAGAAAGCCTGGGTCCATTACACAGGTGCGGAACTACGCCCATAGTTCCCCTACATCAATACGCCCATAGTTCCCCCGCAAAGTATTTCATGCGGTAAATAAAATAACCTAAAATAGACATTAATGAAACATCTCATCACGTTAGGTGTTATGTGAAAGGAATGGATGGAAATCGTCGTCTAAGATAGATCCTGATCTAGTCATCTTTTAGACGAAATGGAAGAGAACTAGAAGAATGACTTTTATGACGTGAGAGTGCCGTATAATGACTGTGTCATTTAAAAGAAACTTGTCCCGGCAAAATTAAACCTTCCGCCATTTGGCGTGCTACTCAGTCCTCGTACCCGCACAGACGGGGCACGACGACAGAAACGGAAAATGTTATAGACTGCTCTGTGATCGGACTCTGAAGGAGAACTTGAAGGCAAAATAGTTCGTAGCGTGTAGTACTCATAAATTATTCTGCAATTTATCTAACTCTGCCCCTGGCAGATATCAGCTGTTAACGGTTTCACTATGGCGACGTTCAAGCTCCCGATTGGATGAAACTGTCAACAGCTGATACCTGGCAGGGGCTGAGTTGGATTATTATCGGTATATTTGAAAATGTCCAAGAATATAACCTGTGTCAGGATAGGAATAGTAACGTTTCCATCGAACACGGTCCAGGCATTAGTTTAAGACAAAAACAACAACATCATCATACGAGAGATATGGGATTGCCAGATAAGGGAGTATGATTCAATGGACAAAGTTTCACGGTGGATAGTATTACGGCGTCTAATCATATTTGTTAGTTTTGATAGTTTGGTAATTATTTAATTATTTAAAATTGTATAATCGATAGTGAATCAATCATTTTGTAAATGTTTGGTATTTGAAAGTGTTTATCATGTTTTGAAAGTTCCATTCCAAAGGCATTTGAAAGTTATTGATTAAATGTCTTGATTTCACTGGCCTGGATAATAAATGGTTACATAAGGTATCGTAATTAATGAATTTGTGAAAAATTATTTAAAAGGTAAGAATTTTGTAGTTTTGGAAGCAGAGAGTGACAATCTTCATTAACGCTCAAAATTGGTGTCCTCGAAAATAAATTAACAATTTGGATACTGAACTTTATGACTGTCTTTAAGACTAACCTACGTAAAGAAACGAATGCATAAATATTGTTTTTTGTACTTGAAAGAAGTTACAATTAATTTATCGAAGAAATACGACCTTCGCGTAATCTTCTGGCTGAACTCAGACATATGAAAATTAAATTTATTTGAGGAAATTACAGGAAATTGTATCTCCTGAATGGCGTTGGATACGTTGACTTCCTATAAATGTCTTAAAGTCATAACAATAGGTCAGGAAACACAGATGACAATCGATATATCGAATCACAAAAGGGACACAACCAGTTCGAGTTATGACAAATTTCGATTTAACTAGGTTCGACTTGTCAAACTCAAAATGCAACCGAAAAGATAGTAGGGAAACGAAATAATTCGAAATGATAAGGATATCGCGTTACTGAAGTCTGAGCCAGCGTAGCCGAATACATCGCCATTCCTGCGTTTTACACGAAAACTAATTTCTGAACGATTCCACTTCGCCGTTCGTTCTACATCTTACGCGACGCCGACGAGATCGACGCCGTTGCTTCACGGTTTAAAAATATTTCGGTGCGAGTAGAGAAGCTATAAATACTCGTATCAGTTCTTGTCAACGGGCATACTGTTGTGTCACAACGGCTCCCTGTCGACTGCTGATATTGCAGGTCGTCTTGATGAAAAGAGTTGCTCGTTTTTAGTGTCGTCTACAAAACAATTGGTGTATTTCTACCAGTGATGACTACTTGTCAAGGCAAAGTTATTCATTTGTTTTACCATTCACGGTCAACAGTATTGTTATACCTTTTCTAGTTATTTAATGGACTCAGTTGTAACAAATTGCTGGACGTAACCACACAAAATGGTTTTCGAAAAAGTAAAATCCACCCTGCTCAAATACAACAGAGGATATGCTCTCGAATAACAATGCAATAAATTAAATATTAAAAATAAAAAAAATAAAAAAAACAATATCCACGAACCCTGCAATAATACAGTACGGTATATACTATACAACAGGTCTTTAAATTAAAAGATATAAAAAAATATGCAGGCCCATAACATAATACGTGAATAGCAAAAAATGGAGTGTGTCATCTTCCTTGGAGCCTTGCAAGCGCATGACGTCAGGTGTGGCGAAAGCAGTGACCCAATAAGTACGTAAGTACGTAATACAGTAATTCAGTTCGTACGCAATACAATGAGCTTAGAAGGAATGACACAAATCTTCATTTTCAACATCAAAACTTTTTCATTTTTTTACTTCTTCTCCTAACGAAACAAAATATTTTAATTTTATTCAATGACGTTTAGAATAATTGCTGGCGATATATTCCAACAGATGAAACGAATTTGGAAAATATTTCTCTGTTTGCAGAATACCATTTCTTTCACAAGTTTGGCGGAGAGAAAAAAAATTAAATTACTTTGTACATATTTAGCTCAGTATCCAAGATTAGTTTTAATTGAATGAAAAAAAAGGAGTATTATAAAAATAGTTTGTAATTTTGTAACGTCTCTGGAAATTGGGAGGCAGAGGCAGCACTCATAATTATAATTGCATGTAAAATCAAGAGACGTTTTCCAGTTTGCCTTAGCACAACGCAAACTTCGAAATTGAAATTGAATAATACTTTTCGAAACATCGCAATGGAATGAGACATGTAATTGCTGCAGGCGAACAACGAAGATACTTGCGGGCAAAATATAACAAACCATCATACAATTACTAGAGTAAGTTTCCCAACAATTATTACTTTCCTTTTTAGCATTACCTGCTACTGACCATATTCATTGTACTATGATGCGCACAAAATTATTTTGTAACGTCGATACAAAAAGAGTAAATTTCTGTAATGTTAATTTTGACCGACGTTTTGCTCTATAAAAATTAAGACCATATTCTTTCTACAGCGAAGTAAAAAAAACGTCGTAAGCCAACATGGCCAGTTCTAAACGGAAAAAATCTACCAATATATGTTTGATAATTTTGGTATTTTAAAGACGAAATAGTAACAACATTTGAGCGTAGTAGTTCCCCTTTAATATGAGACTTGCGTCCACAGTGACAACAAGCGCGAAGGTGGAGTTCCATTTTATTTTTTGTATAAACATACAGGATTAATTAATAGAAGTACATAACATTTTTGAATTTTCAAGAGACGTGCTCATTGTTTAAGTTCACATTTTACATTTAATTATAAAATATATTGTTATTGCAAAACAATTTTGTTAAGTTGTTAAATAGTATTAGTTATTAAGTAAGACAAACAATAAATTTGTATCTGCAGTAGAAGCAAAAATATGAAATTTGAGGTCATCTGCGCTCACCGTGTTTGTAAAATTCGGAGTCAATATTTCCAAAAGTAATCACACTCAGTCAAGACAAAACAATGAATATACATCAGTATAACAAGTTCAAATAAACATATCGTCCGAATGAACGTGGAATTATTTAATAACAGTAATATCGAGAAATTTAATATTAAAGAATGAATCAGAAACAGCGTATTAAGTATTTCTTTATTCAATAAAAAAACACTTTGTTAAATACCTAAATCATATTATACCTCATGAATATCACAATCATTCTACGACCTCGCAAAACAATGACAGAAGTTGGAAAATATTCCGGATTTTACTTGGTAGGAGCCTTGGATATGACACACGCGAGGAAGGAAGTGTTATCCTTTCCCCAGATGACAACGGATGTGGTCTCCTGTAGATAGGAGGACACCAACACTCACGATGTATATAGAACTGCGGCACGTGGAGAAATTCTCTCTGGGGGAACTCATTTAAAGTTAACTCAGACCCAGAATTTGCATACGTGTAATTCGAAATATCCTCCAACCTCTACAACAATGTTTGTTTTTCATTACATCTGAAGCGTTATAAGGCAAATAAATACTAGAAGTAGCATTCGTATTATCATTAGTATTAAATGGCAAACATTTTAGCTGATATGTTTAAGTATATTAAAATAAACGAAGAGACTTTTCGCAAGCTAGATCGTTAACCACGACACTTTTCATAACGTCTCCAATGATGCCGGACACAACGCCGAAATCAACGACTTCTACAGTATATTAAAAAAAATCATTCGCAAACATATCTTAAAACGCCTTCAACAACTGAAACAAAGCCTTCCGGAATCAAAGCCTAAAAATCGCCACTCACGATTAAAATTACAGTTTCCACGACGTCAAAATTAATGCCTTTATTCCTTCTTAAATGACCCCTTCCAACGCTCCGTAAACAATACCTTGCACAACACTTAAACAACGCCTTCCACGGCTCGTAGAGTGCCTGATTCATCTGTTTCTACGAATTTTTCCACCACGTCCTTCACAACGCCTTCCACAATCCCCATCTAAACAACAACACGTAATACAAACAAACAAAATTCTCACTCGTTCCAAAAATATTACAAATTACCAGGACGCTCGCAAAGTATGTTGGAAAATCGAAACCAAAAAACGCTACTTCCTGTAATATTAAATTTTAACAGGCTCTTTCTTCAGTAAAAAATAGATCAACACTCCCAGAAACGCCCAGACATAACACATCACGCCTACGGAAACTTTTGACAAGACCACCAACACTTTAAATGCCCCAACTAAAGTGTCCACTCTAATTATTACGAGTATGTAAACCGTTCAATCTAATTATATCGTATTTCACGACGCAATTTAAGTAGCAAGACAAGAAATTGGACACAGAAACTATTCGTCAGACTCGTATTTACCTAGATATTGACTAATTTTGAGATTTTAAATAACAGGAACCCCATTTTGTACCAGAATTTGAAATTCCTTAAAAGGAGAAAAGCAGTAACGTAACACTTCTTGACATTTGAAAAGTAATTCTACATGAACGAGGAATTATCCTAACGCAACATGTTCGGCAACATGATGTACGCCACCCACGCAGCAGAAGGCTATTAGAACATTTCGATGCCACCCTACACATTGCGAGGCGTGGACACAATAGTCGAAGTTACGTTTCATCCGTTACAATGTAGCAAATTTTGCAAATATTTATTACATTTTTTGCATAATTGTTATCGAAGACGCGGATAAACACTTATATCATTTTTATTCAAACAATACAATAATAATAGAAATTAGAATAAATTGTTCAAGTTCTTATTGTATACTTGTTGCATTACTCTCCTCACAGCACTATTACCATTCTCCCGTTCGGGTCCATCTCAAAGTTGGAACTGCTCGCAAACACATCGAGACACAACAGCGGCGTTTGCTAAGGAACGTAGCTATTCGATTTCGCAAGGTGGTGGCCGAGATTGCTAAGACGGTAGTGCCGTAGCGATCTCTGACCGAAGGATCGGGAGTTCGAGTCCCGCCTCGGGCACGGTTGTATTGCGTTCGTCCTTTCACCCCCTGTCGTCATCATCATATCGTGTCATCCTCAGAGTTACCATACCGTTACAAGCAATAGTGGTCGCTAATTACCTAGAAGTTGATGCCACCTTAAATAACCAACAAACAAAAAAGTGGTGGCCGTTATCGAAACGTTCCATACCCCTTGTGCCACGACGTCGAGCACGACGTTGGGTGGATTCTTCACGCTTTTACTCCAAAATCTCTTTTCAAATCTAAACACGTAATATCGCTGCATTCGTATTTGATGTATTTTGGAATCCATGTAAAAATGCATAGTTCCATTAAAAAAATCAATAGTTTCAGTCTCCAAAGATTCGGTAAGCAGGAGACCGTCGAGTAATTTCTATACTACTTGTCATGCTTTTCACTTGTAATTTGTGAAAAACAAATTTCAATATCTTCAACCATTTAGAAGATACTAGAAGTAAGCACTTTAGCTGGGTCGCCTGTGTATGTCATCATATACCTGTCATACGAGCGATTATTTTGACACATTTACTTATATCAAACTAAATTGAGGGCGTCGTGGTCGATAAGTAACGTGCAGAAATAATTTGCGTTAATTTCACGACGTTGGTTGACTAACTTGGTTCGGGCTGTGGTAATCCCTTTTCGCTAACTGCTAAATTAATAATATTTCAAGAATACAATTCATGTTGCTACATTTGAAGAAAAGTTCAGTTCAAAACTACTATTTAAATAAATATCGTTCATATGCACTTTTCCTTTAACAGTCGGTATATTGCGAGAATAGTTGAATCGTGACGATAGTGAATAGCAGGCTCTGCGATATTTTGGGAAGTGTGGTCCGCCAGTTTCCAATCTACGTGCATGAGCTGAGTTTGAAATTTTCATTCCTTTCGCGGTAATTCATTTCAATATTCTGACACGCCTTTTGGCATGATCTGAATCTACTTTTAGCAAACTCGTTTTCTAGACGACGTTAAATCACTCCCGAAAAGCATCTCTAACTACCAACTACCCTCACTGAACTGATGTTTCCGAAGCATTATCACCATACGGAAGAGTACACTTCGCGGAGCGAAGCGGTATTTGTAGATGCTCATTTGATTTAGAACCTGTCAAAACGATTGTCCGCTGGCCTGAACCGACTACACCCAACATCGAACTCAATTACAATGAAAGCGATGGCAATTCCCAACAGTACACGTGAAAAGCAGGTGCTGTCGCGTTCCTGCCTTTGGAGACGGTGAAGTGTTTTAGAAGTGTCAAAATGTTTGTCCGCTGGCCTGAATCGAACCACGGAAAGCGGACAGTCGAGGTGAAAAGCTGGAGTACTCACGCTGTCTTCAGCAACGCTTAACTGTTTCAGAACCCATCAACATAACCATCCGCTGGCCCGAACCGAGTATACCGACACTGCACTCTGCCAGAAGGAAAAGGAATAATTGCGAGAACAAGCAAGCTGAAAGGAGGTAGTTGTCACTTTGCGGTCTCCGGGGATTCTCAACCGTTTCAGAACCAGAGAAAATAATCGCCTGTCGGCCTGAACTGAGTATAGCAGCTCCGAACTTGCCAGAAGAGAAGAGTAACGATAGTTGAGATGGGAATAAGGAGCACATCAACGAGGAATACAGAGTATATAACGAGGAATGCCGAGTATATCAACACCGAACTCTGCTAGAAGAGAAGCGTAACAACAGGTGTGAAAGGAATAACGAGTAGTCACTTTGCAATACCGGTGATACGCAACTGTTTTAGAAGCAGTCAAAATAATCGTCCACTGTCCTCAACCGAGGATAGCAACTCTGAACTGACAGAAGAGAAGCGAAACAAGAGACGAAGTAGGAATAACGATTATGCCAACGAGGAATACAGAGTTTGTAACGAGGAATACAGAGTTTGTAACGAGGAATACAGAGTTTGTAACGAGGAATACAGAGTTTGTAACGAGGAATACAGAGTTCGTAACGAGGAAAACAGAGTTTGTAACGAGGAAAACAGAGTTTGTAACAAAGAATTTTTAACGACGAATTCAGAGTTTGTAACGACGAATTCAGAGTTTTTAATGACGAATACCGAGTGTAACACCAAACTCTGACGGAAGATAAGCGAAACAACAGGCGACGAGTACTCACTTTGCGGTCTTGGGCACCTTGCGGATGTGCAGGTCCGAGTTGAGCACCGGCTCGGCGGATATGGCCTGGCGCTTGGGGCGGCCCAGCACCAGTTGCTGCTGAGGCTGCGGCGCTGGCACCAGCGGCTCCTCGCCCACCACCCCGCACGCCTGCAGGTGCTGGTGCAGCGGACGCACCACCTGCCGGAACTTGTCGATCTCGTTGCGCAGATGGCGGATGGTGGCGTCCTGCTGGTCCAGCTCGCGCTCCAGCCGCTGGATCTGCCGCTCCTTGCGCTCCAGCTCGGCCGCGCGCTCCGCCAGCAGGCGGCGCAGCTCTTGCGGGGACTCCATGGCGGCGCTGGCGGTTGTCGTCGCACTTGGAGGGAGGGATCGGTTGTCGGTGTTGCACTTGCTGTCGGATGTCACACCCGGTATCGGCTGTCTCTTGTCGAACTTAAGCTTCGCTTGCGTCGGTTCGAATTGTTACGAACCGATATCGCTTGTGTTGCACTTGGAGTCGGTTGTCGTCGTTACACTTGCCGTCGGGTGTCACGCCTGGTATCGGTTGCCTGTGGTAGAACTTAAGCTTTGCTTGCGTCGAAGTATTACGAACCGATATAGGTTGTGTTGCACTTGGAGTCGGTTGTCGTCGTTACACTTCCTATCGGGTGTTACGCCTGGTGTTGGTTGTCCGTTGCCGAACTTAAACTTCGCTTGCGCCGGTTCCAGTTGTTACGAACCGTTATCGGTTGTCGTTGCAATTGGTTCGCTTGTCGTTACACACACTTGCTATTGAGCGTTACACCTGGTATCGGTTGTCTGTTGTCAAACTTAGTTTCGCTTGATACAGCTGGTATCTGTTGTTAACGTTTCACTTCACGTCAGCTGTTACACCTGGTATCAGTTGTCTGTGGTCGTTACCTTAGGTACTGTTTATGAAACTTTGTGTAGTTACAGCTAGCACCGGTTTTTTTTTTCTTGGAAATCGGAATTAACGTAGTAAACGCAGCAAAACTGAAGTCGTAGAAGTATCTTCACGTTGTTCGTGATTTTTATAAGAAATTCACTTTAGAGGCACTGCACTTCAGTCGACAAGATGTGCAGTGTTTTTGTTTACAACCACGAACATTTACTATTCACCGTCGTATTTATACAAATGGTCATTATAAATACAGGAGAAATCTAAGGCTTCCAGGAATATCTTCACTTAGAACTCGGCGCTTCAAAGTGCCTTCGCCAAGAGAGACCGACCATTAACTGACACGACATGCAATATATTTATTCACATTAACGAACACTTAATATTCGCCAACACCTGTATTTCGAGCATCTACAGCTTAAATAACGCACACACGCTTATTTGCATTTCTAGTCAACGTAGAGTTTACGAATCGGCACATATGGCCAGCCAATTTTTTTTTCTATCAGCCAGTAAACATTCACTTCACGTAACTCAAATCAAATAATAAATCTAAAATTTTTGCAGTTTTCACAAGTACGTGTCATCAATATTCCTCCAATTATCTCTCATGCAAAAAAAATATAAAATGCGAAATTACGCCAGGTACTGCGTAACAACGAAGCACACAAACATCTTTTCTGTTTAAAAAAAACACTTAATATTCACAACAACAACAACACTATAAGACGCGCGAAAATCACGCAATAGATGTTCAAAACACTGCGTGTTTAAACGCCTCTTCTCTCGTCCGTCGCAGCAGCACTACCTCCGCCCTGCGCGTCCACCTTCCACGACCTCTCGCGCCCGCAGTCGAACGCTCACTGAGGCGGCGTGCCGTGCGCCGAGCAGCGTCGAGTCGAGTCGAGCGAGCGCTGTGCCGAGCCGAGCCGAGCCCAGCGCACTCTGAGACAAATGCCGGCTGGCGCCGCGCGCTTCAACTGTCACCGCGGTTGGTGATGGGCGTCAGCGGGCGGGGATCTTTCTCCCTGGATTGTTATTCAACCCGCCGCCGCCGGGTGAGAGAAACCCCTTGCAGTTACGATGCGCGCCGCTTTAAACCGAAAACCGCGCTCACGTGGGGGGGGAAAACGGGTTTTCCAACAAATTGCAGGTAAATCAATCGTCCTCGCTTGCCAGTCGTATACACGCGGCCACGATCAATTTTCGTTCCGCAGAGTCCCCTAACAGATTTTTCTGGTGTTTTATAATCTTTCTTTTCTCGTTCTCTCGATTTTAAAGCGGGAGTTTTCTTCGCCGGGTCGAAGCAACCATACACAAACTCACGCAACACCCGTCGCGTCACCGATGGTCGAGTCGGACGTGTGGCAAATAGTAGACTCCGCGACAGACAACGCAACTCTAAAGAGGATGTCACACGAGGACAAAAGTGCTTTGCCGAGAACGGAGTAGTTTCAGCGCGGAGTCAAGGCGGCGACCGTTCGACGTGTTCGAAGTAAGGAGGACGAGTGGAGGAAAAACTGGTGGAAGCAGACAGCGTTCCTCGAGTGTATAATATACTATTTTTTTCACCTTGTTCTTTGCGAAAGGCAGGTTTCGTGTCACTCCCACGCTTCAAGGTTGCAACTGCAACGTGCTTTTAAACGATGAGGGACAGATAAAAATACTCTCAAATGACAGAACGTCTTCTTCCTGACTGGCTTCTAGTTCCTTTTGTTAAGGACTCTCGTGATTCTAATTTTACTCTACCGTACTCAATTTTATTCAAACGGCTTTTGACTTCGGACAATGCAGTGGCGATAGAACGAGAGATGCATGTAAAACCGACGTGTCGTTCAATTGTTTGCTAGTTCCTTTTCTTGACGAAACGCGATACTAACAGAACATACATACTTTGCATACTAACGCCGATACCTCGTTTTCTCGATAAGTTTGTACTGCAGTAAACGCACGACACTAACAACTTCAACCACCTCACGACTCCCTTGCAATTTTGTACACGGCTTTTCTTTTTCGCACGTGAAAGACCCAGAGTTCAGCGCTCACTTCGTCTAGTACAATGCCCCGGCAATAAAGCACGCCAGAAATCAATTCTCTTTGGCGAGGGATGCACAGTTAAGATACGCAGATAAAAGAGAGACTGCAGCTTTCAGTTCGCGCTTTCACTGCAGTGCCGGGTAAGACTTATTCAGCCTCTTCTGCACACAGCTCATGCACATCTACCGGTCGAACCAACGAGCAATTCTTTTCACGTGGTATCCCACAGGAGTCGAGACACAACAGTATTAATTTGCACTCACACGCCAAACTTCGTTCACATCCTAAAAAAAGGGGGGGGAGGGGATATTTTTCCCTTCACAAAGGACTGGCAGCAGATGTGTAAAGGAACCGCTGACCTTGCGTGTTCACATGAATGCAGGCGAAACACACAAAAAACACAGCACCAAAGACGTTTTAGTACCCCAGCTCGTAGCCGAAATTGCCGCAAAAAAATTACAACAACGAACGTTCTACTCGCACGCGTTCACACGTACGTGTTGTACACACTCGTACACAGTTGTGTAGGGGGAAGGGGGAGGAGGAGGAGGTCGATTCACGAAACTGATGAATGGGAATGAAGCCAGCACGGCACAAAGGCGGGCAAGTGGCCGGCGGTGGCGGTAGCGGCGACGGCGGCTGCAACACTTTGAGAGCGTGCTCCCAACACGAGAAGCAAGTATCAAATGGCCAGCGGGCGAGTGGCCGGCCCGGCCGGCATGCAGCGTTGCGGCGGCGGCGAAGGAGGAGGAGGCAGTGGCGGCGAAAGAGGAGAAGGACAAGGAGGAGTACATTGAGGAGGGCGAAGAGAAGAAAGAGGAGAAGGCGGTGTCGGAGGAAATGGCGGAGTAGGAGGCGAAGGCGGAGGTGGCGGCGCCGAAAGAGAAGGACAAGGCGGAGTGCGTGGAGGAGGAAGAGAAGAAGAAAGACGAGGAGGAGGAAGAGGAGGAGGAGGAGGAGGAGGAGGAGGAGGAGGCGGCTAAGGAGAAGAAGGCAATGACGGAGGAAATGGCGGAGTAGGAGACGAAGGCATCGAGGCAGCGGCGAAAGAGGAGGAGCACGTGAAAGAGAAGGACGAAGAGAAGAAGAAAAATACTAGGAGGCGGAGGAGGTGGAGAAGAAGGCGCCGGTGAAGGACGCAGAAGTGAAAGAAGCGTAGGTGAAGAAGGCGGCCGCCTAGGAGGAGGAGAAGGTGGCGGAGGCGATTGCAGCGCGGAGGAGGAGGCGGCGGCAAAGGCGGTGGGGAAGGCGGGGGTGAAGGAGGCAGAAGTCAAAGAGGTGGAGGCGGAGGAGAAGAAGGTAGCCAAAGAGAATGTGGCGGAGGCAAAGGCGGCGTGGAGGAGGAGGCAAAGGCGGTGCGGAGGAGAATGAGGAGAGGAGGCGGCAGTGTACGAGAGACGCCCCCAGTCGGCGCGCGCAAGGGTCACGCCATCTACACCCGGCGAAACACCACCGCAAGCCGCGTCAGCTGCCGGTTGCGTCCGGCGATAATCTGCGGCGAGAGCCCATGGCGCGGAAGCGGACAGCGAGCGGACGGCGAGCGGACGGCGAGCGGCTGAGAGAGGGGAAGAGCCGCAGAAAGAGGGGAGGGAAGGGGATTGAAAGTGTTGTTAGAAGGAAATGTTTCCTACCGAACAGGGAACTGCTCGAAACGAAAAAAGGATTGTTTCCCTCGTGAGATGGCGTGTTTACGGGAATAAAAAAAAAAAAATTTAAAAAATTGCCGTGTGATTTCCCAGAAAGTTAATGCTTTCCGTTTGTCTCTAAGAACAGGTTCCTTTCGAGTGATAGTATTTTATGTACGTGACATTGGACGGAAGAAACGCCTTAATAACAGTGCTGTAAAATAATGTTCCTTTGATTAAATTAATTACGTTATTGCAAACTATGTAATTCGCATAACACAGAATGTGATTTTGAAATTGTTTAAAAAAGTATTCACTTTTCTAAAACTAGGATTATTCTTAAATTCCTTCTTCACGACTTTCTTCCGAATACCATTACTTTCTGATTTTGAAGTAAATAATATTTCCTCGGCTTCAGCAACCTGTGCATTTTAACCGTTGAAATTTTAAGCACTTTTTTTTACCTTCCACGAACACGTAACATGTAAATTCTCTTTCACCACTTTCACATATACCGCAAAGATACCTGAACGTGTCTGCCACTTTCGTCTTCGCACATAGTTCCCTTTCACAAGTTTTTCTTGCGAATTAATTTCCTTCTAAATACTCATTATACATTCACGAATTCACTCTCGAGACATTAAACCGGTAGTCCGCCATCACACGTAAACCTCGCGTCAACAAAACAGTTCCGTTGGAGTTATAAGCGGGGCGTACGGGCAGCCCCAGTTCGCAACCAAAACAGAACCCAACACAGCGGTCTCGTCCCA